CTCCCTCTCCCTCTCCCTCCCTCTCTCTCTCTCTCTCTCTCTGGCTCTCTCTCTCTCTCTCTCTCTTTCTCTCTCGCGCTCTCTCTCTCTCTCTCTCTCTCCCCTCCCTCCCTGCATGGTGCTGTGTCTTTGTTCTTCTCCGCAAAGAAGGCGGCAAAAGAGACAGACTCAGAAAGACACGGTCCAAATTATATGCTGTAAATGCGCAGTTTTGCAGCATCTGACGAGTGATCATGGTCATCCTCCTTATCAAAGTCATCAATGAGATCAATATCCACCACCATGGTCTTCACAGGTGTTACCGCAACATTTGCAGCAACAACTCCACATCCGATGCCGCTATCCCGATTCTGGATCATCACCCCAACAAAAGAGCAAAAGAAACGAAAAGAAGGCGTTTGCAAACACACCCAGCCACCCCAACCAAATCGGTGCTTCATCGATGCGGCATCCTTGGCATTCTTCCCCTTGGCTCGTCGCTTCCCTTTGGCTTCCCGAGGTCCTGCCTTCCCTGCGGAATCAGACCCGCGACGAGATCTTGGCTTTTTGAGGAACTCGCCCCAAAACTCACGATGCTGCTTTTGGATGCTTATACAGTACGAGTGAGGAGTGAGTTGTACATGTCTGAACATGCGGCCCACTGACCCAGTGGGGTCTACTTAGGTTTTCCATGGCCCCCTTTTTCTGACCAGGCATCTGGCGAAGACACACCCAGAAAAAAGAACATAGGAAAAGGCCAAAGGTGCCTTTTTGTAAGAATATAAATTGCTTCGCGGTGCTCAGTTGCTGGTTGTTGTCGTTTGAAGGGTGTCGGTTCCCATCACCACGAAGCTCGGCCTCCTGCCATGTCGGTTCTTCTGGGCTTTGCCTCAGTGTCGCCAGAAATTGTAAAGCCAGGGGTTTGGATCCACCATGAGGCTATGGAAGTCACGCTCTTTTGGGTCCAGAAAGGGCCTGCTGCTTTCTACACGGCACGCCCTGACTTGAAATACCTTTTATCTTGGGATCATTTGCCAAGCGTTTCCGCCGCAAGCTTCCATGTTGGTGGTATCTACTGTCACAAATCACACACGTGTGCCGGGAAGTTAAGGTCCTCCAGCTTTTGTGACACAAGCTAGGGATGAAGTTGCCACGGATCTCTGCGTCAACTGGCTAAATGTCCAACTGATAGAGATTATATACAATGGACACCTAAAACAACGCTGACTGCACATTGGCAAACCCTGACAGATTGCTTTTCAAAGGATGTAGAACTACGGAGCCGCTGGTCTAAAGAGAGATTTCTCTCAAACCTGTATGGGTTCTTATGGATTGTGGGCAGAAAATGCCTGTGTATCAGTGTGTGTGTGTGCGCCTTTTTCTGTGCTTGGGGGTCATGACTTCTACCATTGCCCATACCCTCGCCCTATCTATCGAACGCCGGGCGCATCTGTGCACGTCCTGAGCACCCCTGACGTTCTTTGGAGCTCCTGTGGGCCTCGACCCGTCGAGCTCAGACGCGAGAGAGGCGGCCGGTTACAGGGTGTTTCCGCCCGAACCTCCTTGCAACAGCCCTTTGATTTGTGCTCTTCTTCGCCAGAGTCTACGACCAAACCTCCAAGACTTCACCCCGTGTTACGCCTGAACAACTCTCCAAAGCACTGTGGTCGTCCTTGTTTCTTCGCCCGCGTCTTCCCGGCCAAGGCGCTCCACCACGGGGGGCACTGGCGGATACATCGGGGGGATGGTCATGCCTGGTGAGCAAGAAGCTGCGAGATTCCCAGTTTTCTACGATGTTCTGGGGAAAGCTCCAGTTTGCTGGATAGATGTGGATAGGCTTCTGGGGCACGGGGATAGCTCCAGTTTGGGCAGTTTGGGCCTCTTTTTCGTGAAAGCTGACGGGTACATCAGAGAGTTCTTCGGCCACCTGCAAATCGATGTCTTTTCCGGTACCGTTCCATGGATGCTAGCTGTCACGGTGCGTTCGTTTTTTTTAGCGTGGGGCCGCAGGAACCAAATGAGCGTGAGGAGACTGTATAAGCTCAGTTTGAACTTTCTGAGCTCAGCTGAAATCACACACATGGTGCAAAAAACAATCCCCAATCGCTGCTGATTTGGTCCGCTAAAAGGACGACTGCAGCCACCAGGCCTTGCCTTGCCCAAAGTACATGTTCATCTGATTCATCTGGTTCATCTGCCCCTGCATGAGCGCTGCGTACTGCTGGGGCCTCAGCACACGAATCCGAGTCGCGCACGGGAATCTACGGGGCTCGCATGGAGCATCCGGACCCAAACCGTGTCTTTGCATTGGGCTCTCCATGGTTTCAACATGTTTCAACCGCAAGCCTCTTCACCGCCACCCCAGTTTCATCGCTGATCTGAATACACTTTCTACATTCCACCACCACCGCATCCGGCTTTGCTGCACCCATGTCCTTCTCACCTGCAGCTTGGTTCTTTCTGTTCTGGGCACCGGGCGGCAGGGGCAAGGGCGGGGCGCCAAAGGCGGCTTGCGGGAAGGGCAGCGGCATGGGCGGATACCCATATCCAAACCTCGAAGTCTCTTGGAGTCGCGACCGGGACCGGTGGCTTTGGGGCGCGAAGCCACGGTGTTCTGCTTCACGTGAATCCATGTCTCGGTGTGAACGCACCGTTTGAAACGGAGGCTGATGGTCATCGGTGACCCAGCTCCACCCATCTATATAGTTCACTCCCATAAACCAACGCCTGGAGAGCCACTGGTTTCAACATGTTTCAAGACTTGCCTAAAAAATTGACAAAATCACTCGCTGCAGTTGGTCAAGAAAGCCCTAGCCTCTCTAGGCACGTGTTGGCCAGGGCCAACAATGCCTAACAATGAAGCCGTGGATGGGAATGCGTTCACCACAGAACCTTTCAACCAGCATGAAGCGAGAGATTTGTTTGTCTACCATCTAAACTAAAGCGGATTCAGGATTTGTCCATCAAGCGTGCCAAACTACGCTAGTTGGGCTTCCCAGTTTTTTGGGGCAAATGCCACATCCCAAGCACTTCAACCTGCCTCAACCTACCCTACAGCCCTACAGCCTTGCCTCCACCAATCTCACCAAACTCCCAGTCAAGCGACCAATCAACATCATCCCGGTCTTCCACACTGTTTGAGGAGAAACTTGCTCCTCCCAGCCTGCCCAACTCAGGCCCATTCTGCTTAAAGTTGCTCAATTTGTCAATGGTACATCAATAAGTGGAAGTGGAAGTGGCTGGAACGATCAAACACCAGCTCCCCCTATTTCAGACTGCCGACGAACCAAGAAGAAAAGACCACAAATCAACAAGTCAAACAATAATGTGTAATGTGGACTGTTGATTCATAACCTCCTCATTTGGATGCGCTCACTTGCGGTCCTGCGACGCTTCTACTCCTCATTTGGATTGTAAACCTTCTTCATACTGTATGGGGAGCTTTATTCATCAACAGTCTACAAATATATAATTGTTGCGGTAAAGATGACATCCCCGTTGGACGGCAAAGCGGCCCTTCTATCCACATTCTGCCCCGCCTGAAAAAATACAAAGTTTGAGTATTGAATCCGGATCGTCAGGGAATTGGAAAAGCTCGAAAAGCTGCCCCCTTCAAGGGAATTCGAATTCAGGTCGCTCCAGCGACCTTCCCACCCAAACACCGCGAACGAACTCGACCCACTCCCAGCGGATCACCACTCCGAGCGGCGGCGGCTGGAACTCCGCAGCGGCAGCGGACGCCTTCGGAGTCCTCCGCGTTCGGCGGATGAAACCAGTTCGACGCGTTCGACGCGTTCGGCGTGGCCTTCGGTCCACCGACCGACCGTGCTGCGGGACCGACCGCGGAGAATGGTGCTTTCGATGAAACTGCTCTGGGGTCTAGCATGGCTCGGCATGTGGGTCCCCATGTCCCAGTCATGCCCTTTGGGTTTTTGTTTGGCACGAACAAACCAGCCCGAGATCATATGAACATCATAACTTATAACAAATCAATTGAAAAGACAAGTCTGACCCCCCCCACCTCATCCTAGAGACTTTCGGTGTCAGATCTGGAACGTATACGAAATCACGGACTCGCCACCGATCCGCGGCCCTGGACGGACTTGAGCGATCCGCTCCCTCCGATCCTTCCAGACTTGCGTCCACGGCCTCGACCTTTTGAGCCGCCGCCGCCCTGCGGGGGTCGGGGCGGTACCAACATGGCGGTCGGTGTGTAGAAGAATAGGAGGAGCTCCCAGACAACGACCCCCCTGGAAGAATAAAATAGACCACAACCCCTTGTTTTTTCTACAAGGAAGATCCGAATCGAAGGAGAGTCTCGTCCGGTGGCTGTTTTTGTGGTCAACGGTGGGGGGCAAACAGCGGAACGGAAGTCTGAAGTCAGCCAGCTCGTGCCTGAAACCATCGTGAATCCATCCATGAGCCACAGCAGAGCGACGTCTACGTTGCAGCAGCGTGGGTCCGTTTTGGCCGACGGCGGGGCCGACTCACGCGACCCAAAGCTCTCAACCGGCAGCGAAAATGCTCAAACCCAATTGCGGTGGTCTGACGGAGCTAAGACCTTCTCCTGAAACCAACCCCTCTCTATGCTCTTTCGCAGCAATCAGGTGGCACCTGTCTTGAACATGAGGGCGTCTTCTACTCGGCAGTAATCACAAACATGATCATTCAACTCCCTTGGGTGAGCCACAAGTTGTGTGTTTCCTTTTTGGAATATTGAGAAGTGGCTCCAAACGGTTTTGCTCCCGCCTCGTACTCCAGATTGAAGGAGGACTCGATCTTTCTCGGCGAGTCGCCGTCCTGACCCAGCGGCGAAAGGAGCGGCAAAAACCCATCGTCAGGTGACTTCTTTAGTGGCGCCCATCAGGCGACTTGGAGGAGAACTTCAGAGAAAAATACACAAAAGGGTGGATACTCATCAGTCAGCAGCCGAATTCTTTTTGGGTGCATTCCTTTGTTTGGAAGAGATAGGCTTTGGGGGTACGGCCACGACTTGGAATTACAACGGTTTCAGAGTAGATGGCACGATTCCCAAGTTAGGTGGTTTACTGTATATGGACTCCCAACTAAAGTACATCTTGGGGTTGGTGCCATCTACTCTGAAACCACTGTAGTTTCAGAGACTTCCGTTTTCCTTGTCCGTGGCTGGGCCAAGGGTGTGGACATGCCGTTCGGAAAGGGGGGTCAACGGTGCCGTCCACGCGGTGCCGTCGTCCTTGGTCCGGTGTTTCGTTGTTTTTCGCTTCGATCAGACTGGTGGAACAGCACTTGATCGAAGGCTTCCCACTCAGTGCTTCGTCATTCGCCACTTCCCGGATCTTCGGTCCATCAACAAGGAAATTAAGGACCAATGGTGCAGGACAATGATGTCCAAAAAATCAGAGGGCATCAGGGCATCCCCTCTCTATATACATCAAAAAACCTTGGGTGCATCCCATTCTTCTGTAACAGTGGATGATGATGGTTAGTCAAGGCCTTTCTATAAAAAAAAATGACGATTGTTGACCGACTCCTACAAGTAAGGGGGCACCCCAAAAAATATCACAAACCAAAGTAGAAGGCATGTGCAGAAAGTCTGACGCATTCCTCTGTCGCCCAGTCCTTGGCCATTTGGGGGCCTGCGGCACTGCTAGAATCTCGAGATATACTCATCGTCGTTCCACAAAAAAGTGTCGTTCCACAAGAGGTTCATCCTGCTTGGTATGGCTGGTTCCAGTCCCATCTTCAGACCACGTCGGATGCGTCGGATGAATCAAACATAGTTCGAAACCTTCAAAGGATGATTTTGAGGTGCACAACCCTTTTGGTGCCATCGCTGGCTGTCCCCTATGTTCTGTCCCACACAGCAGACACAGCCTCTGTGGTTTTGGAGCCTAAAAGATTTTGAGAGGCTTGGAGCTTTGATTTTGTCCGGTCTTGAACAGCTATGAAGTCTTTCCGTGTCATTTGGGCGTCCGTTCAAGCCCCACGGAGGGTAGAGGATCTCAGGGCGCTCTGAAAGACGTCCTGTCACATCACTGAGTACATTGACTACATCGAACATGTTGACAATGGCAGCAGGTTAAAAGCTAGACCACAGGAAATCTACACAAAGGCAATCTTTACCTCTCAGTTGAATCAACGCTTGGCGGCCACAAACAAATGGGAAGAACATCTAAGAACAACCATTAAGTACAAAATCACTCAAAAGACCCTGGGGATCCAAGTACCTTGTCACAAGGTGATGTGTTCCACACTGTTATTGACCGTTGCGGTCGGGTCCAGTCGTACCTTCTGTCAGGGTGCTGTCTCCGACCGTGTTCGGACCGGTGTCTCCGACCGTCTCGGACGCTCCGAGATCGTCCTTACGCGACCCCCTAAGTAGACCCAAAGAATACAAGGATACAATACTTGGGGGTCTATAAGAGTCTATACAAGGGTCTATGGGTCACAAGGAAACTCCCGAATCCATGTCACGATCTTGGAAACCGTGCCACGATCTGTGTGGGACCACGAGAACAAGGTGGTGGTGGTGGTGGTGGTGGTGGTGGTGTGAAAGTTCGACACCTCGTTCGAAGCCGTCCTTTCGGTCAAAC